AAGGCAGGAGTGCCATACTGAAAACATGGGCAATTGACGCGAGCATGGTGGGACCTCAGCTCCTCTCTCTGGCTCAGGGCCCAGGACACTGGTAACCAGGCTTATGCCCCAGCCTTTCAGGAGAGTAGAGCATTATTCTCTGGGAAAAATGGTCAGGCCAAGAGAAAAGACCTGTAGAAAGAGAGATTTGTGTTTCTCAATGGCATGGTTGGGTCCATGCCAATGACTCTATGGTGAGTGAGGGCCATCGTTCTGTAAGCCTTATCCACAGACACAAGCACAGAGCTTTCTCAGAGTCTAAAGAAAGAGGGATTGCAAATCATCATATACTTAAGGAAATATTTTAATGTGAAAATATTTAATATGAAAGAATGTTAAAAGACAGAAAATGAAACTCAGAGGAAACAGAGAAAAGGGAGGAAGTAGAATAAAACTTCAAAAGGCTACAATTAGTATTCTCAGGTAAGAAGAAATTGCACTAGTGAAATAAATGCAGGACACTATAAGAAAAACTTGGAGACCAAGCAAGGCCTTTTAGAAATAAAAAAAAAGTTAACATGAATTAAAAATGATCAATTGAAGGTTTGGAAGAGAAAGTAGATGAGTCTTTTGGGAAGAAGGAGAAGAAGAAGGTTAATGAGAAGGAGAAGCATAAGAGGCTTCCCTTGTTTGGTCAGAGTAAGACAGACATGCTGGTGCTTTATTTAAGCCCTAAATCTAGGGAAGCAAGAGTGAAACAAAAGGGATGTGAAGCAAGGAAAGATGTTAAGAAATGCAAAATGATGCAGTACCAGTCTGGTTACCACTTCATGACACCCTGAAGATACAAAGTAGGTTAATGGGTAGGTATGCTCTTAGCATGCAAGATTGTTTGCAGCCAGGCAGAGTGCAAGAAGTAACCATATTTTTGTAGCAATCTATGGGAAGGAGCAAAAAGAGAGTTCTTTTCTGCCTAGGTCCTTCCCTTCTCTTGCATCCCATTAGTTGAAGTTTATCCCATGGGAGTTAACGTTTCTGCACATCCAGACTATATCTTTTGTCCCTTCGCAAACTACCAGCAATGCCAGGTCCCATGCTGTACAGTGAGGTGTTCCATCTAATTACTGAAGTGGAGGGAGGAGCCAGGAACTCTAGCCTTAATCTGCAGCTGTGGTCACAGGGGAGGGCCAACATTCCCAGGGCAAATGACTGGTTAGCTTCAAGTGAGACTACTACTGGTTATGATAGTCCTCTGTATTTTACCAATAATGTTTTATTAACAGTAAATATAGCTCTCAGTTATTAATTGTCCATCAGGCCAGGCCTTGGGCTACAGGCTTCAGGTGTATTTTTGATTTCCTGTAATTCTCATAACAGTCCTCTGAGTAAAGACTATAATTATCATCATCTTATAGACCTACTCAGAATCATAATCCTTAGGCACAATATCCAGGACTGTACTTTCGAAAGCTCCAGGGTAATTCCAGTGCATCTGTCCATGGCTGGGCATTCAGGAAACACTGCCTGGTAACATGGGAGAGGTGATGATGAGTGACACAGACATCCTGCCCACTTTGGGCTCAGAGCTAGTGAAGGGGCTAGACAAGTCATAAATGCCTGGTAAAGGTATGCCAGATGCCAAACTTAAATATGTTAGTAATGAGGTTGATGTCCTTTATTTAAGGGAAAACATTTCATGGATTGAGAGAGAACAGTGCCTCATAAGCAATGGAATACTCCCACCGAGGGATTTTGGGTAAGAGTGAGTTTTATCGAACATTGGATGAGGCAACAAAGCATGATTGGCAAAGAGGGTGGTGGTTTCCTTATGAGGCTAGCAGGTCTGTGTTAGAATCTAGGGTGAGGTGAACTAGCTGAAGCTGAGTTGGAGGACTGTATTTGGTGTCTGTTGGATCTCCCTGACAGGTGTTTCCTGTAAGCGTCCACTCATCTAGGTTTAGATTTGGGATGTGGGCCAGCCCACTGGAACAGCTTCCATTTTGTGGGCCCTGATGTAGGAATTAACTTTATCAGGTATAAATTGCTGTGAAATCGACTCTTAAGGTACAGCTGTGTTGTTGTCTGAGAGTTGTGCTTTTTGCATGGAGATGGAAGGCAGGAATTTCTGCTATTTGGGATGGAGAAGACTTTGGTTATTAACTCTGTGGTTTGATTTTTTAAAAAACTTCTATTATCATGGAAAGAGGAAAATATTTTAAAATATTCAAACCCAAATCCACTTTGATTTGAATCTCTTCTGGTGGAACAGGGTTTTTTATATGTCTTTGGGAAGAAAGAATTCAAAAATTGGATCTTAATGGAGCTGGGTGTATGGAAAGAGGAGAGAGTGGGTGCAGTGAATGAAATGTTTGTGTAGATAGTAATGAAGTATTTACCTATAGGCACATGCTGTGTGTATGTGCTCTTCCACAATTTACTTGGTACTTGAAAGGAAAAACGTTGCCATGGCAACAGTGTTACAAACAAGGTGAAATTGCATAGGGATGAATCAGACTTGACTTTGTCTGATTCATGCAAGACAGAGAAGCAAATGCCCCTCTTAAAATTACAGCAAACATTTTAATGAGATGTTCTTATTGATTCTCATGAAAAGAGGGAAGTGTACAAGAAGGGGGAGAGGGGTGGTGGCTGTGAATTATATTTCTTTCTGTAATATTACTACATTGGGCGCAGTTCTGTTGCCTCAGTCTAACCTGCTGGCATCCCTGCCCTTTTGACAGCGTGGGGGTTTGAGATGGTTTCTTTCAGAACGTGAAGTCGAGAATTCACACACATGAGGGGAATGGGACTGGAAGCTGTACTCTTATCTTGCTGAAAGAGCTGGGTAAATAAATCAGTCCTTTAATGGTGTGAGGCAGAGAGTGAAATGATTGTACACATAGTTCCAAGGGCACTGTAATGATCTTCTCAAAAGTCAGAAAAGTTGAGGGGTTTTCTGCTTGAAGGAGCAAATGTGAGTGTCTTTATGATTTTTTTGGAATCTTCTCTTTGAGCTCCATGAAGACAGATGCCCTGTACTGTACGGGCCCCACGGTCATGTGCTAATGCACTCTAGATACATCGGTTTAACTTATGGTTATAGTACTTCCTTTGCTTCAAGTTCGCTATGTCCTGGGGCTTGGGAATGACTGTGTGGTCACATTTTCTGGGTCGAATACCATTGTTTGATACAATGCTGGGAGCACTGATAGGCTGCTCTTGGTTATGAGTCTTATCTCAGTGATTCCCAGCCTTGAGCCGCAGGACTTGTTAATACACATATTGCTGGGCCTACTCCTAGAAGTTTAGAATTTGCATTTCTAACAAGATCCCAAGTGATGCTGATGCTGTTGTTGTGGGGACTCCACTTTGTGAATCATCATTTTATCCAAAACTCACACGGTAGAGAGAATGAGGTCACTGATCTTACTGTTTTCTGTTCTGTTCCCACTCAGCAGCTGGGCAGCAATTCAGGGACTTCTGTAGAGAAGAGACAGAGGAAGCTGGGCTTTCACTGTCTGAAGTAGGCTTGATGAAGAGAAAAGGACTTTCTTTAATCAGTTCCTTGATAGTGTAGGACAGGCTATTTTCTGGATTTTCTGTAATTGGGGAATGTTGAGAATAGGGATGAGAGAATGTGCTGCTGAGAGTACTGTCCAGAGCAACACTGGCCTCACAAGGAAGCCTATTAGAGATGCAGAATTGTACATGGTTCTCTAGACCTGCTGAATCAGAGCTAGGCTTGAATGAGCTCCCCAGGAGATTTTTTTTTCTAGGTGATTTGCTTGCACTGTGGATGAAAAAGGGGTTCTACTAAAAAGTACCCTCACAAGGTAATCTGATCATAAAATCCTAACTGCGCAGGTCATAGTGGACAGTTATAGGTTCCAGACACATAACTTTTTTAGTGAAAGGTTATTTTTGCCTTAAGCAAGTCCTGCCCATTGTTTCTGTGCATCGAGGTTAACATACTTTTGAAATAGGCATAACCAGCTTCAAGAGAAAACATAACCTTAACTATTCTGTAATCCAATCTCCACCTTGCTTTCTTCCACTTTCCTGTAATCTTTCTTATGTCCCCTTACCAATTTCAAATGCATTAAAGAAACTGCAAAACTGTCATTCTCTGGAGCATTTGAAATATTGCTTCTTGGTAATTTTTGTCAGTTTTGACTCAAATAAATTCTTATAAAATTTTTCTGTAAGTTTGGGTGTTCTCATGTTGACAGTGCATTAAAGTCTGAGAAGTGCTGGCAATAAGACACAGAGTGCCAGCTCGGAGATCAAGGTGCCTGAATTTTAGCCCAAGTTTTGTCACTACCCACCTCTCTGGCCCTACTCGACTCAGAGGGTAGACTGGGTGTGGGTTAGTGATCTACAGGATTCCTGCCGGCTTTGGTGGTACTACAGGTGTGAGTCACAGCCCCGTAGGTCCAGACTTGCTCTGCCGGTGTGAGACTGGAAAAGTTGGCATTTGTGCTGCCAGTCACTCCCAGAACCAATATATAGAGACAAGGATTGAATCTTTACGGGCACTTTATTCAGATGGCCAGTGATCCGAGAAGACGGTGGGTTACATACCCTAAAAAACCCATCTTAACATCTCATCTCAAGCTAAGCCTTTGTAGAAGGAGAAGAAAATGGTAGGTAAGGGGTTTGGAATTCAGGAAAAAAGTAGATGAGAGGTTTGGAATTCAGAGAAAAATGTTAATCAGATAAAGGCTGTGGTCAGGTGATTTTCCTAGCATCCCTTCATCTGCTGACTGGTGATTCTTTATCTGTGCTCTGGGCGGTGGACATCTCTCCCTGGAGCACAATGGCTCAGACTCACCCTTATTGCCTGTAGTCTTCCTGGGGCACAGAGGTCAAATTGCTTGTGGTCTGCTGGAGTCTGGGTAGGTCCAGTCATACATTCCATTTCCTGGAACAATAGCTTTCTACAAACATTAATCACTAAACCTATTAACTATACTTCAAAGTTAAACACTTTTAGCTTTTTAGTTCTCCCATCAATTTCTGGAGCCTTCTGAGAAGGGCCTCAGGGCCTTTGAGGTCCAGGAGCCACTTCCCTCTGCAGGCTTCCCTGCCCTCCCGGGTGAGCTGTCGAGCTGGTGAGCTGGTGCGCTGGTGAGCTGATGAGCTGGTGCGCTGGTGAGCTGGTGCGCTGGTGAGCTGGTGCGCTGGTGAGCTGGTATGAACTCCTGCTGGGAGGACAGTGTCTCCGTGAACAGAGGACATGACCTCATTCCATGTACCTGAACTCGTGGGAGCCCAGCGTATTATCTCCTATGAACTGAACTGCAAGCAATCTGGGGAAAGTGTATCCCACCTGATGTCACTGTCTAGAAAGAAAGCCCTAGTCCTGTGAAAGCAGCCTTTAAGAAAAGAGATGGGTCAGCCTCTGTGCCTTGACTCGGGGTAAGTCACATGATCAAAATACCTTTCACACAGAAATCATCCCCTGAACTTCTAAGACTCTGTTTTTAGAGAATTTGAAGGTTTCTGCTATATCAAAACATTAAAATGAAATCTCATTTTCAGATGTGAAAGATGAGTTAATTAATGAAATAGGGACAGAAAAGATGTCTGGTGAACCAAATTAATAAATAGAATTTTATATGGGAATGTTTTCTGTTTAATAGTATACACTATTTTTAAAGACTTTAGGCATGCCATTTTTTATATAAGTATATTTTCTTAAGACTAGCTCTGTGATGGTGCCAGCCTTCACAAGGATTGCATTTTATATTTCTTAAATAGTCCATTACCCTGACTTTTTATTAATTTAAGTCCACTTTCTCTCAAATCTGCCTCAATGAATTAAGTATTTTTTTTGGCCATAGATGTTCCTACTTGCTACCAGAGGAATCTGATTGTTAGATGAGGTTTCCTTTGGCTCTCGTTGACTTTTGTTTCCTTTTCTGACTTGTATAGGCAAGAGGCTCTGGACAGCCACTCACAGCCCATAGCTCTGACTGCAATGGGCTCTTTCCTGTTCTTTTGTGCTCTGCTAGTTTGGTTTCTTCATTCAGAAATTTTTTGCAGTTTCTTGATTTGCATCCTTTGCCGGTAGGTGTGGGTATGTGGGGGCAGTTTGCTGGGAGAAATGCTGGCCTGGAATGGAGGCAGAGCCCTGGTGTTTGCTGAGGGAGGAAATGCTGCAAAAACACTGGTGCTGGGTTTTCTGTGAACTGGCTCCAGGTCAGCGTGAAGGAAAGATATATCCTTGATAGAAATCCTCATACCCTGGAGCCTTGGTCATTTGTTTGCAAAGCCATCTGTTGGGATGTGAATGGAGATTATGAGAGGGGGGCCAGATCAGCAGTCAGACTCCTTACCATATTGTTCTGATTCTGTCAGGGAAGCAGCTACTTCTGTTAGAACATTGTCAGATTCTAACAGTGACTTTGTGTTAGGAGGGAGATATTTGTTGTTATCTTCTCTTTTTATGTCAACATTGCATACATGTCTTTCTTTAAAAAAAAAACTAGGATAGTTTTGCATACAAGCCTGGAGGGTGTGCAGAATTTATTACAGCTTTGTTTAGAATAGCAGGACCCTGGAAACAACCCAAGTACACACCAGTAAGGAATTCCTTAGGTAAATTATGATATAACACAACTAGTAGATGTACAGACTTTTAAAAATTATGAGAAAACAAAGACAATGTAAGGCATATGTCAATATTTTTATATGACATAATTTCCAAAAAAATTAAGGGTAAAAAAGTAAGAACCATGACATAAGAACAGAGTGTATGATTACTTGAATATATGTATATACACAGGTATGCAGGCATAGAAACCTCTGGAAGGATACAAAAGAAACAGGTAGCAATGTTGTTTCTGTGGGAATAGAGACTGTATTTCCATGGGGTACCTTTTTGTTCTCCGTGAAATGTTTTACTTTGTGTATTACAGATTTAAAGTAACAAACAAGCAATCAACCAGATTTAGAGATAAGCAAATCCTCAACCACACGGAAAAAGAACAATGAGCAGCAGAGCCCTCCGGCAGCCCTGGGAGCATCCAGAGGTGTGCTCCCGCTGGCCTGGCTGTAGCTCCAGCTGACTTTATAGCCCCAAATGAGCCGCAGACGCCCTGCTGCCAGCACCCACTATGAACGCTGTGCACCTTGCTCCCAGGCTGGGTAGCTGGCCTCACAGAGACCGAAGCTTAAATTTTCTCTGATAGCCATGTCCTGGTAGGTTGCTAACTGAGGGACAAGTTCCTCTTCTTCTGTCCCCAGTGATGGCGGCACTCAAGCCATTCATTTTAAGTTCATGAAAACACTAGAGGGGGATTTAGCTTTTCCTTTGGGAAACAAAAAACAACACAAAGAGCATGTGTGCAGATCTTCTTTCAAAATAGTGGGGCATTTGAAACCGGTGCTGCAGCTGCAGAGAGTGCTCCAATCCCCGCATTCTGTGTTCTGAAAGCACTTTAAAAAGATGCCGAAGAGACAGAGCCCTGAGCACTTTGGAAATGGAGGACTTGAAAGCCTGTATTTATCCGCCCTCTGCAGAAAATCAGTTCCTCTGGGGTAGAGCCTCCCAACCTTTTTACATCATGTCACACAGAAAACGACATTATTTGAAGAGCATTTGGGGGAAAACAGAGAGCATCTCTATGAGGCTTATTTTAAAAATTAGTTTTTTAATGTTACAGAATTATTCATAATACATATAAAGTATTCTAGGAGACATTGTATTTGTTTAAAAGTTCCAAATAAAATCTGTCCAAAATTGTAAATGAGAAAACTGAGCTTGTTTTTAGGACTATACCCTTCTTTTTCACTGTGGAAAAAAATCTCAAACATACACTTCCCCCCATCACATATCCACAGCCTAGATTAAACAGTTACCAGCATTTTGCCTTTCAGAGGTCATCTGTGCCATCCTCCCTTTTTTGCACATCTCAGGCATCACTTCATTTCATCTGAAAATGCGTCAGTATGAATTCCTACAGATAGGGCTTAAAAGAATAACCATGATACCATTAGAACCTCCAGTAAGTTAAAATTATTTTCCAGCATTATCTAATGTTCAGTTTATGTTCAATTTTCATCATTTATCTCAAAAATGTCTTTTTACTGTTGGTCTGAGTCAAGATCAAAACAAAGTTTGTAACTTATACCTTTTAAGCTTCCTTGCATCTATAACATGGATGTAACCATTTTTGTGTGTACTACATTTTATTTATTTCTAACTTAGATGCTATTACTAATTATTTTTTTAAATTAAACCATTTTCAAGTAAACTTGACATGCAATAGGACGTTAGTTTTAGGTGGACAGCATAGTCATTAGACATTTATCTAACTTATGAAGCCATCACGTCAATAAGTCTAGTACCCATCTGACACCATACATAGTTATTGCAATACTGTGGACTCTATTCCCTATTCTGTACTTTACATCTGTGATTATTTTTATAACTGGTAATTTGTACTTCTTAACCTTTTCATGTTTTTCACTCATCCCATCCCCTTTCTCTTTTTAAAAATAGCTTTATTGAGATATAATTCACATCCTGTGGTAGGCTGAAAAATGACCCTCCTGCCTCCACCAAGACAGCTGGTCCCAATCCCTGGAACCTACACGTGTTACCTTCGGTGGACATAGGATGTTTACAGATGTAATTAGTTAAGGGCCTTGAGTTGGGGAGAGTATCCTGGACTTAGTTAAGTGCAGTCACATGCAACCTTTAAGAGGGAAGCTGAGGCAGATCCAACACACACTGAAGGCGTGTGCAGACGCATCAGAGAGAGCTGAAGACGCTGGCTGTTTGCAGCAATGCGGACAGGCGCCGAGGAATGCCCAAACCACCAGAGGCTGGAGGAGGCAAGGACTTGACTCTTCCTAGATCCTCCAGCCCTACCAACACCTTGATTTCAGCCCAGGAATACTCTCTTTGGATTTTTCAAGGGTTGTGAAAGAATAGATATTTGTTGTTTTAAGCCTCCAAGTTTGTGGTAATTTGTTTCAGTAGCCACAGGAAACTAATATACATACCATCCAACTCACTCACTTAAAGTGTATGGTTTGATAGTTTTTTGTTTATTCAGAGTTGTGCACCCATCACCACAATCAATCCTAGGAGGTTTCATCACCCCACAAGGACACCTTGGACCCATTAGCTGTCATTGACATTCCCTTTGCCTCCCAGCCCTGGGCAACTACTAATCCATTGTTCGTAAGCCTCTATAGATTTGCTTATTTTGGACATTTAATATTAATAGAATATAAATAGAATCATGCAGTGTATAGTCATTTGTGTGTGGCTTCTTTCACTCAGGTTAATACTTTCTTTTATTAAAAATATTTTATTTATTTATTTTTAGAGACAGGGGAGGGAAAGAGAGAGGGAGAGAAACATCAGTGTGTGAGAGATACATTGATCCATTGCCTCTCTCACACCCCCAGCTGGGGACCTGGCCTGCAACCCAGGCATGTGCCCTGACTGGGAATTGAACTGACTACCTTTTGGTTTGCAGGCTGGCACTCAATCCACTCAGCCATACCAGCCAGGGCTCAGCTTAATATTTTCAAGGTTTATCTATGATGTGGCAACTATTAGTACCTTGTAATTGCTGAATAAGAACACGAGTTTGTAATATCAATTTATAAGCTTGAAATTTGTGAGAAAATCCTGATTGAAGCTTTTTTAATGGCAATGTTTCAAAATATTGGTAGTCACCATTGAAACTTTGTACAAGCCAGTGATTAAATATGTTAAATCTATTTTTACAGCCATTCTAAAATTTATAATGGTTGAAATCCTGTTTAAAGAATCTAACAACTCATTCTTTGCTCTCATTGACACCTGTGATGTTGGAATTTCTTGTGATAATATGAGTGGATTTCAAGTCAAATAGCAGTTTTTATGAGCAGTCTTTTGAGACAAAACACATTGATGAACCTCTGTTAGTACACCACTAAGAGGGCACAGTAGGCACCAGTGGGCAGAAGTACAGAATAAACGTGAAGACAAAGGCTGGGGCCACCCCTGGAGCTGGTGTGCTAGCCGTCCCAGCACAGCCGCCCTGGGCCTGCTGCGTGCGTGCCCTGCGCCTTCCCAGCTGCAGTAGCCCTAGG